AGCAGCCAGCTTGGCAGGCTGCAGGATGCTCTAAAGGCCCCTGCGGCCAGACTAGAGTGGGGGCGAGCTGCGAACAGGTGAGGACTTGAAAGTTAGCCAAGGTCAAACCATGGAGGTCAGTGTAGATAACAGTAAAGCCACCAGAATTTATTCAGGGTTTTAGTTTCTGAGCAAGGGAAAGGCACCATCACATTTACCTTAGAAGGATTACTTTGGCTGCTCTGTGGAGAGTAAACTAGACCATTAATGGGGGGGAGACAGAGTAGAAGACAGGGCCCCTGATCTCAGCGAGTTCACAGTCTACTGGAAGGAGAGGACTATAACCAGAGAAGCCCAGCCTGTTCCGAGTTACTTTTGCAGAAGTCACTGCAAGCAGTGATCATTTCTCGTTGTAATGCTCCTGGCTTCAGGTCCTAATTTAGGATTATCAGAATGAACTTTTCCTAATTCACATTTTCTCCCCCAACCTTTCTTTTATCCCACTTGCTCTGGATTTTTCTATCATTTCTGTAAGGACAGTCAGTGTTTCTTGATCTGATTTATTCCTCAGGCCTTTTTTGTTTTGTTTTGTTTTGCCTTTGTGATTCCCTTAATCCCACTGAGGATCAATTTCTTCAAATGCACTGGCCCCCATATGCCAAATCCCAGTTATATTTAAAATTAAAGCTCCCCATTAAAGGCTGTATATGTTCCCTTGTGGCAAGGGAAGGAAAAAGAAAAGACAAGAACATTTAGAGAGAACTTGCAGTGTTCCTGGCACTGCACTTGCTGATAGTTGTGTGCATATTATCTCATTTAATTCTAGATGAAGAAATGAGGATTATAGGGAACTCAGACTCCACTTCCAAAGATGATTCTCACTTTCCATTCTGCTCTGGCGTTCTCAGATTGCTTCCTTGGCCTTTATGGTTTCTTCAGTCTCGGTCCCTCAGTCTGACAACTGGGGCCATCAGTCTATCAGCAAGTATTTATTTAGGCTTTCCTGAGCTAGGACAGTCATAGAACGAGGGTGATAATATTAACACCTTTCCTCCCCTAGGGTGTGCCAGGATAACACTGCATTCTTGATGGCTCTTGGATGAGAAATGTTTACTAAACAGAAATAAGATAGAAATTCTAATGCCTTTTTTTTGGCTTCTATTTGGCATGCAAGGATAAGAAAGTGCTCAGCGCATTGGGATCCCCTCAAGAAAACTGAGGACTATGCTGACTTTAGGAGATAAATTCGCCATTTCAAGAGTGGACATCCAAGAGGAAGCATTTGATGGGTTGTTGGCTATCTGACCTGGAACTCATAAGAGAAATAGGCAGGAGATAAAAGTGTATATTTGAAAGTCCTCAGCCCTAGATGGTACCTGAAGCCACGAGAGGAAGATGGGATCACACAAGGGTATAGAAAGAGTGACAAGAGGGACAAGGACAGATCTCTGGGAGACTTAAAATATTTAAGGGACAGAGGCTCCTGGGTGGCTCAGTTGGTTAAGCGTCTATCTTCAGCTCAGGTCATGATCCCGGATTTCCGGGATCGAGTCCCACGTCAGGCTCCCTGCTCAGTGGGGAGTCTGCTTCTCCCTCTGCCCCTCACCTCACTTGTGTTCTCTTTCTCTCGCTCCCTTGCTCTCTCAAATAAAATCTTTAAAAATATATATTTAAGGGACAAGTAACGGAAGACAGCCAGCTGGGGAGGAGGCAGGAAAACTAAAAGAGTATAGTGTCTGGAATCAAGGGAAAGAGAACAAATGAGTAAGAAGTGGTCAAGTGGTGCAGAATGTGAGAGAGAATTCAAGGAAAATAAAGGCAAAAGATGGTCCATTGGAGTTGGCGGCAAAGGGTATTGTTCCTCACTGTGGGACCAGTTTCAGGAGACTCCATATTGTGGAGGGTCAAGAAGTGAAGGAACTAGAGACAGACTTTCTCAACTCCTGGAAAGGGCACAGATGTCTTCTGGTTAGACTATGTGTTCTGATTTTTGGTTTCAAAATATGGTCACTACATTTCTAGACAGCCCAAGAATCCCAAGAAGTAAATGACTTATAGAGAGGCAGGAGAGAGTAGAGATTCTAGGGGTTCTGTCTTCGTTTAAGATTGTGAGCAATAAAATCTGAAAAAAGTCATCCCTGACTCTTGGATTTTTTAAAGTTAGAAATGAATTTCCTACGATGGGAAGGGAGGGAGAGCTCTTTATTGATTACCTATCATTTTATCATGCTCAGGCTCGATATTTAATCTTCATAGCAGCCTATAAGGTGAGAAAATTAGCCCCAAGTACAGAAAAGTAAACTAGACTTGGGGAGGTTTAGTGTACCTGACCACCCAGCTGCAACATGGTGAAGTCACTGTGTGGTTGTTGACACTGTATTTTTTTCATCATATGCAGCAGGGACCAGGGCAGCAGGAATTCCTCCCTCTGAGAGAAGATATATGAGCCCAGAGTTTGTGAGAGGGAGGGAGAACCACCCACTTGAAACAGCTAACATGTGATCCCCAAGCTGGAAGAGGGCAGACCGCCATTTGAGAAGGAATTGGTAAAAAATACAAAATGAAACAAAGAACCAAAAAAGGCATCATGTAAGGTTAAAATTATGTGAATAATGATGTGCATTTGTTATTATAATGTTTTCCAAGTGCATTTCATTTTGAATGATATACTCAGATAGCGCGCATGGTAAGGTATAATTGAAAAAACATGCAGGAGAATGGCTGCATTCAAAGAATAAACATACAGCTGTGAGGAGGTTAGGAGTCAAAGGGGTAAGCATATGCCCCGTCCCCCAGGGATCTCATTAGTGCATGAGTGACCATATATGTAAGAGGCTAAACGAATCTCAGTGTTTGCAAAGACCCACGGTAAATGAGACAATGACGAATCAATAGTAATTAGGCCTATAGATTCTTATTGACCCAGATGTCTGAAACCAAATGACCTGCCCTGAGATTCCTTGAGAGGGAAATGAAATGATTTATAGACATGTGCTTTAAAAAAACAAAAAAATCCCTTTAAGTGCAGTGATGGTATTCTGAAGTGGGATATTGCTAGAATCGGTGCAGACTCTTGATTCCTGGCTCAGGAGGACGTTTTCATGGCTTTTGTTGTCACTGTGGTTCCTGTTGGACCATGAGCAGAGGGAGCTGGGCAATAGACAAGCAGAATGTGATCAGATTCTCCCAGGTGCAAGGCTCTGGCCCTGCCTTCTATGGAGGCCTCCGGGACCCTTTCCTTACACTGTCCTGGAATCATGCGAAAACAGAGTTTGAATGTGGGTTTCCTTCAATGAGTTATCTCTGACCTGGGTTACAGAAAGCACATGGCATCAGAATCACACAGAGGAGGGTTTATTTAAATTCGGCCTTGCTCTCCTGTCTTCACTTCTTTGAGCGTCCTTCTGGAAAGGGGTGTTACCGGTACTGGGCTCCTGAGCCTGGGGTTGAAGGCCTGTGTGCTGTCAGGCAGGTGGTGGAGCTGATGATGCTGTGGCGGGTAAGCCTTTTTCCAACAGTGTCATTATCCTCCTAGGAGGATCCAAGGCAGAAGATGTTTACAGATGGAAATGAGGTGTCACAGCGAGAAGCAAAGAGATTGCCTCCACCCAGCATACCTTGCACACACACGCAGGCATGCTCACACACACACTTGCACTCACTCCTGAGCTTACAGAGACCTGATTTGTTTTGGTCTCGGAGTTCCACGTGAAATTTTTATTTAAGAAAAGAATTTGAAAACCACCATTCTACTTGTTTGTTTCTTCCTTTAAGCTTAATTTAGGAGACTTTCGGGAACTTCTTGGGCTCCATGGGAACATTCAGTGTCACAAAACGAACTAGAAGTCTCCGAGCTGCACTCCTAAAGCATTTTTAAAATGCAAATAATACCATGTTGGGTATCTCAGATACTAACCTCCCTTGGACATTGATTTCCTATACTTTTTCTCCAGCCATTATTCAAGCCATGCTTTTAACCTTTAAAGCTATCTTTCCACGGTCACCAGTGAGAAGCGGCTTGGATGCCACCCTCTGATAATCCCACTTTCCTCTAGAATCAATGGTTCGAGACTTGGAGAAGGAAGCACGTTTAAAGAGGGGAAGGGTGACCCATTTCAATCTTGGTGCCATGCAGTAAGATTTAGCTCACTAAGATAGGTATTATGATGCCCATTTTATGTATGGGATAACTGAAGTTCAGAGAGGGTGACTCACTGGCCCGTGTCACCCAGCTAGGATGGGTGGAACCCAGATTTGAGCCCAGGACTACCTTGGCTCCCAGTCCGCTCATCTCTGTCTCCCTCTCACACAAACATGTGAAGACTGAGAGGTGGTGTGACTCCCTCATTCTGCACCCAAGGAACCTGAGCCTTAGAAAGGAGAAAGAATAAACGCCATGCCATTTGGTGCATTTGGGTTGGAAATCAAGTCTCCTAATTCCTGATCTAATTGCACTTCTCTGTCCTGTCACTTTCTTTAGCCAACTCCCATCCTGAGTCCCGGAACTTGCCTTTATATTTGTCACCTCATCATTATTGTTACAGTTAGGAATACTGATTTTAAAAAATCCTTCACATATATACAGTATTGTACAGTTTGCAAAATACACTATCTTCACATACAGAGTCTCCTTTGATCTTCACAATAACCCTATGAGGTAAGTTGGACAGGAATTATAATATCTGTTTTTACAGATGCTAAGAAAGTGGTTCAGAACGTTTGAATAACTTTCTCATGATTACACACCTACTGGGGGTAAAGCCCCTCCCGGACCTGGTGCTCTGATTCCAAGCCTTTCCGCTTTGCACCAGGACATGCTACCTGTTCTTGGTGATGGCCCAGTATGATCAGAGAGAGCAGTATGCTGGTTCCTGTGGGCTTGGGTAGTTTCTCTGCTGAAGGTTTGGGACCCTGCTTTCTTTCTGGATCTGATATGGAAGTACAAATCGTTTCTTTCTGCAGAACAGTTTGCTTCCCAATTCTGCCCCCCCTTTTAAAAACAAAATCAACTTCTCTTCCAGATGCCAGAGTGTATATGCATATTTGAACAGTCACCTGGATCTGATTAAGAAGGCTCGGCCTGTGGGTTTTCTCACTGTTGATTTACATGTTTGGCCAGATTTCCATGGCAACCGGTCTCCCTTAGCAGATCTGACACTGAAGGGCATGGTAAGTAACAGCCAGTCCTTGCACTAAGGTGAAGGCAGGCCAAAGGGCTACAAAGTTTGGAAGAAGCAAAGTGAGGAGAAAGGAAAAGAGGAAAAATAAACAGGACAGGCCAAGGGCGCACAGGCTTTTTGCAGATGCACCACTGTTTCGAAGGCTCTTGCAGCTCCCCAGGATGAGCTGCTGAAAGTTCTCATTGTTTCTGAGCCAACCTTGAAAGCGTTAAAAGCACTATTTCTTATATTTAGCTACTGCTGCCTCTTTGTCCTGTGGAGCGGCTGGAAGTCGTGAGCCACTGCCTGTGTGATTTTTTTATTTACATCACTCTGCAGAGTCATGTTTTCTCCCCCGCCCCACCCCCCACAGGCCACCCGGTAAATAAGTGGTAAATATTACCACCCATGGTCTTAATTGCCACAACCACATGTCTGTTCAGGCTCTGAGTCAGAGCTGTTCAGAGTGCATGTTAACATTATTAGGATTTCAGATTCAACTTGGCTAAAAGTAAAATAAAATTCATAACTTGGATAGATGGAGCTGCTGGTGACCTTTGGGGTCACGGGTGGTGCAAAAGATTCTGGGCCCTCCTGGAGGAGCCAGGATGAACTTAGGGCAGCGTTTGTAGCCCCCCCTAAGCTAAGATAGGGCATCCTGGTGGCCAGGCAAGATTAGGTGGCCAAAAGTAGGATAGCCATTGAGAATCGTATTTGAGGTTTGAGGAAGCATGTTCAAGCTGGAGAAATAGAACTAAGCTTCAGAGGCCAGAAGGGACCGCAAATAAGAAAATAAGCCAGGAATTCAGAATCCAGGAAGATGTCAAAAAGTTGAGAAGCAGAGTGTGCAGTGAACGGAGGCAGGGAGTTCAGAGTGGAGGCCGTGAGCAACGCAGGGTTTACACGGCGTGACGGTGGTGCAGGCTGCTAGCTTAAAGAGCTTCAAGACTCAAACTTCTATGGTTTTGTGATTCATTTTATTGAGATTGTTTTCAGTGTTTTTATGATGCCAACAGGAAGACCTGATCTTTATTTTCATTACCTAGTTGACATAATCAACTTCTGCTAATAAAAAGGAATCATGGGGAAAGAAAAGAAAATTGGACATAGCATAGGTTATGTCTGTCTGGAGTCCATGAAGTGTGCCCACACAACAGATAATGAACTTGGCCTCCTTACTTGGCCCGTGGAAGCAGAAGAGGAATGTCAGGAGAGGGCCATGTGGCCACAGGCTGCGGCCAGAACGCTGTACTTGCAGATAACTGACTCTCTGGGTACAAACAGAGGTTGGGGAAGAGCACATTTTGTATGGATACAAAAGTGAGTGTCTTAATTGAAAACAAATATCTGAAACCAAATATAATGGACCTTTAAAACGTTAAAGATGTTAAGAAGCATGGCCAGTTCATAAAATGACCCAAAACAAAGCATGGCTAGTAGTGAAATGATCGTGGGTCTGGAGTCCATGGACTTGGACCTGGAGTCCTTCCCTGAGGCCCTCTCTTGCCAACTTCTGTCATTCCCAGCGTGGCAGGACCCATGGCTTCCAGTGGTTTTTGTCTGTTTCTTAAAACCAAGCCTGACATCTGAAGACTTAAGAGTTACCATCATAAGGATATTCTTATAAAGGTAACCCAAATCCAGAATGTAATCCCCAAGGAGTCAGTGGAGGGCTTTGAAGAATGCCTGCCTCATTATAATGAGTACAGCTAAGTACATACTCACCAAAGAAGACTACTTGTATGAGGACGTCTCCCAGTTGTATCAGGAAATCCTAGTATGTTTACTTTTTTAAAAAAATTTTATTGTTTTATATTTTTTATTTTTATTTTTTTAAGATTATTTATTTGTTTATTTATTTAAAGAGAGAGCACAAGCAGGGGGGAGCGGCAGGCAGATGGAGAGGCAGAGGGAGAAGCAGGCTCTCCACCGAGCAAGGAGTCTGATGCGGGTCTTGATCCCAGGACCGTGGAATCATTACCTGAGCCAAAGGCAGACACCTAACCAACTAAGCCACCCAGGTGCCCCCCCAAAAAGTTGTGTTGTTTTATAAGCAAACCTCATATATCGCTAGGTATTTCTGAGCATTGACTTCCTTTTGTAACTGCTTGGATTGGGTTTACATTGGAATAGCTGCCACTCTGTGAGCTTACATCACCACACTGGAAGGAGAAGGTGACCTCAATAAGGAAGGAAATTCTGGGCTAAAAATTTCTCCCAATATTTCTCTCCCTCAGTTTTACTTTTTTTTTTTTTTTTACTTTTTTTTTAAAGATTTTATTTATTTATTTGACAGAGAAACACAGCGAGAGAGGGAACACAAGCAGGGGGAATGGGAGAGGGAGAAGCAGGCTTCCTGCGGAGCAGGGAGCCCGATGTGGGGCTCAATCCCAGGACCTTGGGATCATGACCTGAGCCGAAGGCAGACGCTTAGTGACTGAGCCACTCAGGCTCCCCTCCCTCAGTTAGTTTCAGATAACATCATACTAATCACCCTGAAATCTCTATTGTCCTGTTCTCCTTTGTCACAACCTGTAATGACTACTGTCTCCAGCACCCATTCAGTAAATACTTATTTGGTACCTAGACCCCAGAACAAAGTATGGCTATGTAGACACAGTAAGGTACAACAAAGCCGATGTTCCTGGAGCATGATTCAAGGGAGGAGAGGGATAAAATGTATACATAGCAAGTAGAATTGTCAGGATATTCCTAGTAGGGAAAGAAACATACATGATTTCTTCTTTTGGTTCCTGAAACATTTCTCTGATTATATACTATGTAGTTAATATGTACTTAATTGATAGCATGGAGATAAGAAAGAAATCATGTATTGCTTTAAAAACATACATATGAACAATTTGCTAATATGAGATGGATTAGTTGCTACTCTTACTATCCATATAAGTATTTAATATCAATATTAATGCAGCCATCCTCTACTTCATTTGAAAATAATGTGAAGATGCAAAAAAAAAAAAAAAGCATAAACTCATGCTGACTTTGAAAATTCACATCACATGTCATTCAACTAGCGACACTAGAATTGACAGTCTCAGAATCTGGGAAGATTTTCCAGAATCTAAAAGACTAACTGGAACTTGTTGGTTAAATCTATGACATATGAACAAAGTGAACCTCCAGGCTTGCAGGAGCTCGGACCTCTCCATCTTCTGCTCCTTAGCTGAATGGTACAAGTTCCCTTTAAGCCTCAGAACAGGGCAGTCCTCCCTCTTCTCTGCTGCCAATGGTTTTAGGGTGTTTGGTTTTCTGGAAGCAGCCAGTGAGTTTAACTTTCCAGAACTCTCCCACAACCCAGACCTTATCGTCCCTTTTAGTTCAATCCATCAGAAAACTGCCAAACAGGAAGCCATCTGGGCACGAAGTCCGATTTGGAATGATGGGTGATGCCCTGCATTCTAAGGATCCTGAGTAACACTTTGTTACTGGGACATAGATAGGAGTTTGGAGGAGGGGTGTAGGTTTGCATGTCTGCTGTCCATTCTAGGGTTAGAAAACTGGGCTGTGGTAAGGCCACCAAAGCTACTCAAAACAAAAACTGCTGGACTCAGAACTGGCAACTAGCTATAGATCTGAAGAGGCAAACCCACGTTGCAGTGAGTGGGGCTGAGAGTAAATCATGTGTACGGTCTGCTGTGAAACACTGAAAATGTATAGCTCTCTAGTTAAAATGAATAAAAAAATAAAGTGAGTCTAGGGGCGCCTGGGTGGCTCAGTCGTTAAGCGTCTGCCTTCAGCTCAGGTCATGATCTCAGGGTCCTGGGATGGAGCCCCACATCGGGCTCCCTGCTCCGCGGGAAGCCTGCTTCTCCCTCTCCCACTCCTCCTGCTTGTTCCCTCTCGCTGTCTCTCTCTCTCTGTCAATTAAATAAATAAAATCTCTAAAAAAAAAAAAAAAAAGAAAGTGAGTCTATTAGGAAAAACATGTTGCATGCAAAGCAAAAAGAGTACCATTGGAACACTTAGGGAAAGGCCTCAAAGAATTATATACTATTCAAAGCAAAAGGAAATATTAAAACCTCTTTGGCATATTCAGTAGGATTTTTCTTAAGGGCACATCTCTATGAAATAGGGCAGAAACTTAGTGGGAAAAAATGAGCTCAGATAGAAAAGCAGTGGAATGAGAAGAAAAAGGAAATGATAAAGACGATTAAAAACACAGGAGCAGAATTAAAACATGCATTGAAGGCAATGAAAAATAATTTTTACGGAAGAAAATAAGATCAGAGCTGCCATATGACATAGGCTGTGTTTTACATTTATTAGAAAAACATTTTGAGGGGCGCCTGGGTGGCTCAGTCGTTAAGCGTGTGCCTTCAGCACAGGTCATGATCCCAGAGTCCTGGGATCAAGCCCTGCGTCGGGCTTCCTGCTCGGCAGGAAGCCTGCTTCTCCCTCTCCCACTCCCCCTGCTTGTGTTCCCTCTCTCGCTGTGTCTCTCTCTGTCAAATAAATAAATAAAATCTTAAAAAAAAAAAAAAAAATTTTGAGGGTAGAGACTTCCTATGGCATGTTTGCTTTTAAATTTTCAACAGTGTTTAGGTCAAAGACGGGCATCGAATAATTGCCCTATGGCTAAGCGATTATTTCAGTCTTTACTTGTCAAGGGAGGAATAAACGGTGACCTACCCAAGGTCACCATGACAAGAAATGGGGAGCTTAAATAAAAACATGAATCCTGACTTCCAGCATGCACATCCCCACAAGGCTGCCTTAACTCACACCTCTGGACCTCGCTCGATGTGCTGAAGACTCTAAGAAAGGAGTCCTACCAACCATCATGTGCATGATTTAATACCGAACCACACTTCTCAGCCTAGTCCTCGGGTCCCTGCTGCGAAAACCAGCCTTCTCACTCCTTCTCCCGTGTTTGTCCCTACCCTGGGCCTTGGATTTAAGCTCTGACCTCTCTCTCCTCAGTCATGGTTCTCATTTCCTTCACACCCTCACTGACTCAGATTCCAGGAGCAATCACCACTCCTGGTTTGA